TTATCACATCTTGGGCTGCAATTTGAAACCTCTGTTTATAAAAAGCCTGTATAATTTCATTACGAATAGATCTTCTGGAGAAATAAATGACCACTTCTCTTGGTAGCTTTCTCTGTCTAGCAACCCGTGAATTGACTCTAAAAAAATTTTCTATCTCATTCCCAACTTCCTCTGGTTTCCATCCAAGATTAAAGGCAATATCTTTAACAATAAGCATCTTTAAATCTTCCTGTAAGTTTTCTTTCAATCTCCTGATGCGCAGTGCAAACTCCATTTCTCTGTATTGTGAGATAGTTACTTCATCCTGTGTGGATTCTATCTTGTTCTCCACTTCCTCCATTCTAGATTCCAGTCTTGCTGCATTTTCAGTGACCTCCTCCATTTTATCATCAATCCTTTCAATATGCAAAGCAAGTCCTTGAAACGCAAATAATATATCCTCTCTAACCTCCTTATTTTTTTCTCCAATAATTCTTCCTTAATAGCCCTCTCTGCAATCATAAAATCTTTTACCTCCTCTTTAATATCCAAAGCAGTCGTTTTTAAAGCTTCTTGTAAGTCTTTAAGAGAAAATGCAGGAGGAGGGGAGGGAGGGGGTGACTTTGGTTTAGACTGAGAAACAGATTGAGTCATTGGAGAGGAAATAGAAGCTTTAGGAACTGAAACCAAATGTTTTGAAGCCATTCTTTTAAATTCAAAGGAGCAAAATTCTTGCCTCTATAATATCAAAGTTTTTTTAAATAATAAAAATAATAAAAAAGAAAAAAGGAACAAGATTCTTGCCTCTATATTTGAAACATAAACTGTATCCAACTTTTAACTTTGTTGCAAAATCAAACAAGAAATACAGTCGCCATTTTGCCTTTCACTTTCCCTTTCTTCAAAAGGGAAAGTAAACAATAAAAAAGGAGAAGATACTTGCAGGAGTTAAAGTCCCAATCAATCCTAAATCCACTTTCTCCTAGTCTGCTCCATCTGCATATATGTACTCACAAAGCCACTGAAAAAAGCAGATGTGGAAGTGGCATCTTGCTTTGTCCCAGAACTTCGGGACAAAGACGTCCTGGAGCGCGGAGTAGGCTCAGGCTCCAAGGGAGCTCTACCCTCCGATCCCCAAAGTTATAGGGATCCAGGGGAGCTCTTCCTCTACCTGAGCGGCTCTTCTCTTCCCTTTCTCCCAGGGAAGAGATTCAAGCCGTGGGACAGCTGATTGTCAAAGTCCTGCCGGCTTTTACGCAATCCGGGAACGGACGGCTTCTAAAAAAGCCGCCATCGTTGCGGCTTGATCCACCGGAGGTCGACAGTAACCAGAATTCTTGATATAAATTGTTATTGACTGTGTTACTTAGGAATGTAATTGGTACAAAGTCATTTCAACCACAGGTGGAAGTCCCAAGTACAATAAAATCAGATTTGCTGCTTTTTTGCTGCTATTTCCAGTAAATTGGAAAAAAGTTGGATTTTTCCTATTTTTTCTGTGTTCTAGATTGAATTTGAAATAGAAAGAAAATGTCTATTCATTAAAGGACACAGTTTGATTATATAGATATTTATGTGCCCAGATTTATGCTCATGGATCAGATTGGTGTAGCTGTAACCAATAACCGTGAAAAAAAGTTTGCTATTTAAGTGAAATGTTTCACACTGACCTCAGGAATCGGTCCGTATCGCTCTATTGTCAATGCAAGTACTGAAAAGATGGAAGGTACCAGTGAGCTATGCCTTTTTGATTGATGTTTAATCATCTATTTTTTTCCTGCATAAATCTACTTTATCTCCTTTCAAGACCCACTATAAATTCTGTGACTTTTGATATATAGTTGACACACAAGCTATGTAATTCTGAGCTTTCTGCAAGCTGTTCTATTTCTAAAATGGCAAATTAGAGACACCAGCATGCTAGTAAATTTAACAGTTTGTGTCACTTGCAGTCATTGCTGTAAAATTAAAGTGGCAACATGCCAAACTCTGCCCTTCAAAGCTAGGATTCTCAGCAAAACAGGCTAAATTATTTCCCTAGATATATTTTTGGTTAAAATATTTATCTCAAATTGTACATGCTGTAAAGATGTACAGATTTAAGATATAATAAATACAGAAACAAATTAAAAAACCAAGAAAATAATCAAGAGATGCTTTTCTTCCTCTCCTAGCTTCTTAACTCATTTGTAAGTGGCTGATTTCAGTTCCAATTTTCCTAATATTCTTTATTGTTATATTATGTAAATTATGCTTTTGTAGTTTTATGTACATTTGTGAATATTTAAAAAAAACCCTACCCAATCTTATTGAAGCTTTGAAATCCCAACAAGGCTTTTGGAATATAAGAGCAATGGATATGATATATTTGTGAGAAAGATTGTTCAAAGAATAATGGATTTTCAGAATAGAAGTATAAAGCCTGATTCTTGCTCTCAATCAATGTAGCATCATTTAGCAATAAAAACCATTAAGTTATGGAGGTAAATTGGGGGCAGACTACAGAACATGTCCCAGGAATATAATATGTCAAAGTAGTAACTAGATAAATGGAGTAATGAGAATTTTGATTTGATGGAACAACAAGTTAAAAAACAGAGGCAATATCTCTGCATGTGATATAACCAGAGTTGTGTAGAACAGACACTCATAAAAAATCACAATAGTTTTTTTTCTACCAACGCAAGGGAGTTTCTGGTTAGTCATTCATTGGGAAATATAGCTGAGTTTTATTGAGTGTTCATATTTGTAACACTTAATTGGGAGGCAATTTATAAAGAACTAGACAAATAATAACCTTTAAAACTTACATGAACCTACAAATCTGCTAAATGAAGTCATCCTTGCACAATAATATTTAGTTGTGTTTCACATTAGGAAAGCAGAAGGGGAAAAAATCCTTTGAATTATTGTGCTCAAATATGCCCAGTTGTGATTTATGCTAATTGCTTAAGTTAGTAAGATATAACTGAACTTGTGTTTTTGTTTTTTAAAAAAATCACTAGGTTCTTAGATCAAGAAATATCAGAAAATGACATTTATTCATTTATGTTGTTCGTCCATCGATTTTGATGAAGACCTTGACATCTTGTGGGTTATGGGCCATCAACGATGTGTCCGTAGGTGGCTAATAAGACCGATGTTAGCACGGAATGTTCTGCCACATACTGAACAAAGAAATGTAGACACTGTTACTTCTGCATTTACAGCTCTGGCTTTGTGGAGTGCTCGCTTCTCTTGTGCCAAGATTGTCCTTCTGTGTTCATATGTCTGGCAACCCTGGTACACCAAAGTGCGCCATGTCGGTCGATCATGCGCCAGAAGTTCCCAAGAGATGGTGTTAATATCCAGGGACTTAAGAGAGGCTTTCAACATGTCTTTGTATCGTTTCTTTTGTCCCCCATGCAATTGCTTTCCTTGAGACAGCTCACCATAGAAGAGCTGTTTAGGGATGTGATGATCTGACATCCTTACAACATGGCCTGCCCAGCACATCTGGGCTTTCAACAAGAGTGTGTAAACTGATGATAGGCCTGCTCTGGAGAGGACATCTGTGTCTGGTATCATTTATAACAGGATGTGTAAAGGATGAGCAAAACAAATAGTTTGAGCCTTTAACCAAGCTCATGCTTAGAGCATGATGCCAATCTTAATGTTACATCTGAACCACAGTTTTTGCTTCAGATGCTCCCTGATACAATACAAGAAGATGCTAAAATTAAACATGGGAGAAAATGTCTGTCTGCATATTTTCTTCGAGACTTAATAAATAACTCAAGCACATTATATTCTACAAGCTTCCATTTATGATGCCATTTCATTTTTTTTTAAAAAAAAATATTAGCAGGACCCTGTATACTACTCAGAACTATGTTTTCCCATCCTTTGCAGAGGGTTTTTGAAAAAGAAAAACATTAGATAAGCAATTTGGAAGTCATAAATATAGCAGAAGAACTGACAGGTTGTTATTTTGCAAAATACATGTTTTTAACAAAGCTTTCCAAGGTGCCCTCTATTTGGTTGGATGTTATTATTATTTTTTGAATTGGAGACTGTAAATACTGAAATTTCTTTTTAAAAAAAATAAACTAACCTATGTGAAAGAGATAAAATTTGTTCTGTGAATAAAATTATCAGAAAAGCTAAATTCAAATTATTTGGAATTAATATTATAAGTAATGCCCAAGGAGGGAAAAATATCTTTTTCTCATAATTTTAACCTATACTGGGTTATTGGTTAGTGTCTTCATGGGCAATTGATACAGTTTAGCACAGTTGTGAGTCTGGGACCACAGTATTTATTGGTTATACATTTAATTCATGTTTTCAATTTTTCACAGGAAATTTATGTTTATAATTAGCTATCTAATAAAATTATATTATCTGATGGCAATCCTACCGGTTAGTGCAATCCCGTATAATAGTTGTAATGAAAATGTGTTCAATAGTGGCAAGCTTCAAATGCATCTTTCACAAGGAGTGTCTTCTTCAGACACATTAAATTACACTTTCCATCAACTGAACTCTTGATTTTTTTCTACCTTTGATAACAGTCTACTAACTAACATATCTTAGTTCCTATTTGTAATATAGATCTCATTTCAGTGTTAGTCTTAACTAGCAACATATTGTTGTTTTCCAGTTTGATATTATTTTTAGTAATATAATTCCTGGAATCAATCATTTGGAATACATGCATGCCTATTTGTGGTTAAGCAGTGGCTTGATTTACTTATTTTTCTCTGTCTCATTTCCTACCTTGAAATGAAAGATGTTAGAAACATTTTGTCTTTGACACTTTGCTGAATTAATCCAATCAAATACATCTTAGTGGTATATTTTCTTTATTTATACCATATGATGACAATATTCTATCTCATGATTTAAGTATTTAGCACTTTACCCTATAGATCGATGCAAAGAAATGCTAATTATATTTCTATTTTTGATTACATGTACTGAATTATAAGTCATCACTGTTATGATGTTATAGATGTTACCTTCCATCTTTTTAATTCCAGAGCTCATTCGGAAAATGATAATTCTTCTATCCCATCTTCTGACTCTTGTATCAGTCCTACAAAATTGGATTTGGCATACAGTAAAACTGCCAAGCAATGTCTAGAGGAAATATCTGGTGAGTAATATATAATTACTGTTTAATATTGAGATTTCTGAATTATTATGGCCATACTTAAATAGAAAAACTACATGGAAATAAATAAAATGTAAAATGAATACAATGTATAGGTAGTTCCTAACTTACAATCACAACTGAATCCAACTTTTATGTTGCTAAGTGAGACATTTGTTGAGTTTTCCCCCATTTTACAACCTTTATTGCGACACTTGTTAAGTGAATCATTTCAGATATTAAATTAGTAACACTGTGGTTAAGTGAATCTGGTTTCCCAATTGACTTTGAGGTTGCAAAAGCTGACCACATGATCCCAGGAGACTGCAACTGTCGTAAACATGGACCAGTTGCCAAGCATCCAAATTCTGATCACGTGACCACAGGGATGCTGCAACAGTCATAAGTGTGAAATACAGCCATAAGTCACTTTTTTCAGTGCCATTGTAACTTTGAATAGCCAGTAAAGAAACTGTTGTAAGTTGAGGACTGCCTGTAATTCCTTTCCTGAACAATTTTGGCTTCAACTGCATCACTGAAAAAATTATCATAACACTTTTTCATTAAATTGTTGATTTTTTATCTTTTTAAAAAATTAACTAATTGATTCCCATACAATTAATCAGATTATAATTAAAATCAAGATCAGGGACAAAGATCAATTTAAAACTAAAATTAAATTTCCTTCCATCTCTACTTAAATGTTGAACAGTTATATGGACAGAGGATTAAATGAAGGACAATGTAAGCAAAAACTAATCATTAATTTGGAATTTACCAATATCAATCCTGTTTGATATTATTTCCTGAAGTCACAGTTAGATGTCTGAAAAAATTACATTAATATAATTACTTTCCAACTTTATAAAAATGTATAGGATTAAAAATTCTCATCATTTCCCAAACTGTTGTTTGTATCCACTTCCTGGAACATTCATGTGGTATATGGAATTCTTGGTGCTCTCTGAGCTTTGTGGCTTGCTTGCAGACATTTTGTCCCCTAACTAATCAGTATGAGATATTACCTCTGTATGTTATAATAGAGGTCCCCAACTTTTTGGGCACCAGGGACTGGTGCCATGGAGAAAGGTTTTTCTGTGGACTAGAGGGGGTGTGGTTGTGTGTACTGCTTGCATTCTGCAGATGAGGCTTTGCTTGTTTGTGCAGCCCAGTTGAGGCATGCTGCGGCCTGATGCCAGTCCATGGACCAGGGGTTGGGGACTCTGTGTTATAAGATACCTCCATATGTTGCACGTGAAGTTTGGAGAAGTAGTAGCATTGGGGCACAGATGAAGACTACTTACACCTAAATCAGGCAGATATGTATTCTAGAACTGAGTCTCTAGATTTTTATTTGCACAATTATAAAAAGAATTCTGCAAAAGAAAATATACAGAATTATCCAGTAATGAGAAACTGCTATATGGGCAGGAGCTAAATTATCTTTGGCTTTTAGTGTTAAAAAGTCACTACACATGAGCACAATAGATTTTAATAATTTGTAGTATGAAAATATAGAATGTTATTCCTTTTATTCCATACTAAAATTTTGGGAAGTAGATTTTAAGACAGAAATTAACAAGAGAAGCTATTACTTTCAAGCTGTGTTTGTGAGTTTCCATGGAGATCTGTTTGGCATTGTGTAAAACAGGTTGCTAGGCCTTTTTATATGGATTTAATTTTATTTAAAAAAAACATTAAAATATTTTGTGTCTTTATGTAAGTAGTTGTATTAATATATCTGCAGTTACTAGTATGCTAATACATTAGGATTTCAAGCTAATGTTATTTCCAATGGCATGTAAAATATAAGAATAAAATTTGGCAAAAAATAAAAAATAAAAAAAATTGAGGAATTTAATATGTCTAGCACAATTAGACCTTTAAACCAAAATAAGTGATTCCAAACGCTGAAAGTTCTACCAAATAGAAAGATTTTGTCTTGAGTTTACATATAAACTATTTATCTATTATATATACATATACTCAAATATGCAAACATATATATGAAAAAATATGTAATATGCATATAAATATGTCATAAACTTAAAGTTGACACACAAACTTTTTTATTCCAGGAGGCAATTTTTGTTATATATTCTTTGTATGAATTTACATTTTAATCAGTTTAAATCTGCAAATTTATCTGGAGGAGGCATTGATAAACACAATAAGTTTTACTTGTTAAGTACCCATGCATAGATTTGTCGTATGTGGGTATTCTTGGAAATGGTTGGCAATTACTTCTTTTTCACAATTACTGGATATAGGTCTATTCTTATTCTACTCCAAGTTCTGTATCACTGTGTTTATAGTAGTTTATGCTCAAAGGCAATTGAATTTTCTCTAAAGATTGTTTTCTCCATTGGTAATACAACGGTGGTCTAAGCCAGACATGTCAAACACAAGGCCCGCGAAGTGGTTTCATGTGGCCTGCGGAGCCATCCTGGAAACAGCGAAGGAATGGTCTCCACTGCCTTGGCCCTGGCCCAGGCCGGCCAGGAGCCAATGTACAATTTCGTAGTGGCCATCCATGCTGGAATGCATTCAGTCTTAGGTCCACAAGGCCGTCCTGGAAACAGCAAGGGACAGTCACCGCTGCATCGGCCCTGCCCCCTGGGCATGTGCTGGGGAGATGTCACACTTCAAGAGAATGAAGAAATGCACCATCGCCTGGAAGTGGCCAGCAAATGGCCCTTGCCTACTTCATATATCCAGCTTGGTGGGCTCTGGGGAAGGGATGCCATGTGCAGCATGAGAGTCAATATTACTTGAGCAATGCTGCCCAGCCCCCAGCCTGCCCAGTTTTGGCAGGCACCGGGGCACTCTCCTCACAGTGCCGAGAGGCTGGGCTGGGCGGCTCAAAGCTGGCGAGAAGTGCAATGCTGTCCAGCCCCCAGCCTGCCCAGTTTCAGCAGACTGCAGGGTGCTCTCCTGACAGCACTGAGAGGCTGAGCAGGGCAGTGTGAAACTGGGCAGGCTGGGGGCTGGACAGCATTGTGTTTCTCATCAACTTCATGCCGCCTGACTCAGCTTCTCAGCGCTTTGAGCAGAATGCCCTGCTGCTTGCCAAAACCGGGCAGGCTGGGAGCTGGGCAGCATTGCTCTTCTTGTCAGCTTTGCATCACCGGGCTTAGCCACTCGGCGTTGTGAGCAGAGTCCCCTGCTGCCTGCTGAAACCAGGAAGGGTGGGGGGTGGGCAGTGTTGTGCTTCTCATCAGCTTTGTGCTGCCCGGTTCAGCCTCTTGGTGCTATGAGCAGAACGCCCCATTGCTGCTGAAACTGGGCAGGCTGGGGGCTGGGCAGCATTGCACAGGTAATGTTGACTCTCATACTGTGTGCAGCATCCCCTCCCCCAGAGCCCCCCAAGCCAGATATGTGAAGTAGGTGAGGGCCATTTGCTGGCCACTTTCAGGCGATGGTGCATTTCTTCATTCCTCATGAAAGATGACACCTCCCCAGCTGCGTTTCTTGCCTGTTTTTCTCCCTCCCTCATCTAAAATATTTTCCTGCCATTCTGTTCGTAAAGAAGGAAGGAAGGAAGGAAGGAAGGAAGGAAGGAAGGAAGGAAGGGGATTGGAATGAGAGGGAGGGAGGGTCTGAGGGAAGTCCTGCCTTAGTCCTGCCCTCCTGCCCTTTTGCCATCCCATTGCCTCTCCTCATGGCCTATCCTGGGGGTCTCCCATCCTATAGCTAAGGATGCTTTGGTTACAAAGCTAAGTCTCCTTGCATGGAGAGAGAGTGGGCCTCCCTCTGACCCACTCACTTTGCCCTCCTGCACCCACCATGAGCAACCTGGTTAAGGAGAGAGAGCACAGCAGCAGCAGCCTTGAGGGTGAGGTAAGTGCAGCTGGGTGCCCCCTTGGGGAAGTGGGCTGGGCTAGGTGCTGTGGGAGCTCAAGGGCTGGGTTGGACATTTGACCTCTGCTGCCCAGGGGTCCAGGCAGCCTGTGCCACCATCCAGCCCCCTCGCACAGCCTGAGAGGGACAGTGAGGCTCCTCCAGTGAACTATGCCCTGGTGCTCACCTCTGCCGGAGACCTTCGGATCTGCACCAGTTCTGCCCAGGCCCCCAAAGGTCCCCCTGATGCGAGCGACATGGAGCTGGACACACCCACGCCAGCCATGCCCACTCAGTAGCTGCCCCACCATGGCCACACCCACATACCCCCCTGAGGGCAACCACAATGCTGATGCGGCCCTCAATGAAATTGAGTTTGACACTCTTGGTCTAAGCTAATGTGGTCTGCCAAATGTATATCAGTAAAATCTGATTCTGTAACTCATCTGATTTTTTTTTAAATTATTTATTTAAAATTGCTGATAGCTTCATTAAAAATTGAATGTTCTAATTGGCCAGAATTTCAGTACTTTTTATCCTATACAACTAATAACATTTTTAGTCTAAACAAATAGTCCTCAGCCCACAATCTGAGTTACCAAATATGCAATATGTTCATAGCAATTTACATTACACTCATAATTTACAGGTACAAAACTGCTTATGACACTTCTGTGTGTACTCCACTGTCACACTGAAATGTACAGGTTGTCAGGCCATTAGCCTATTGAGAGAGGCACGTCAGTCTTCTTTCTGTAATGGGTTTTCCATTTCTGCTCCAGTCTACACAGAAAGTAAAAAAAAAGGAATAAAGAAACTTTAAGGAAGCTTATTATATTTTAGTGATAGTGTGATGCTCATGGTAAGTAGAAATTGCTGGGGGTAGGGAACAGATGTCTGAGTCAGAAGAGACTAGAATGTGAAAACTTTACTAAAATAGGTTGATTTTTACTTGAACAGCAAGTTGCAAATATCTACATGTGGTATCTACTGAACATTATTTTTTGAATAGTTCACTTATGAAGTAGGTGCTTTTTATGTATATTAATATTTCATCATCAGGGAATATCTGTTACTGTTTCTTGTTTGTATATATGTTGTCATGCTGATTTTGATATTATCTGCAGGTTTTTTTGTTGTTATTCCTCGAATAAATTGATGTG